GGGCACCATCTAGTTCTTCTGGTCTCAGGCTGATGGAGTCTCTGGTTTATGTGGCCCTTTTGTCTCTTGGGCTAATACTTTCCTTGTGCCTCTGGTGTCAGAAGAAAATCATTTTTAACTTTTATAAAATATATCATTTAACCTATGATAAATTTCAAATAATTGTAATTTTCTCTACGTTTATGAGAAATGCCAAGTAGCATCCTGATTTGTTTTTAAAGAATGCTTTATGTTAAAGATCAAATACAATTCAGTCAAGTCTTATATTTTATGGGGTTACCAAACATAAAAATAGAGAAATGCACAATCAACTTAGCTAAATGTATTTCATTATATATAAATGCTTTAAATACTAGGAATCCTTATAGGTGATCAGCTAGCCAGAAACTAGATTTCCCCAACTATTCTGAATTAGCAAAAGTTTATTATAGTTGAGTAAATGATATATGGAAACTCTGTACTATCTTTACAACTATCTGTAAATCTAAAATTATTTCAAAATAAAAAAGTTTATTTTAAAAAGTTTATATATAATCTTACAAGTGCTTGATAATCAGATGAACTAGAAAGACCCATGCTTTTGCACTTCATCTTTATAGAGAGTAAATGAAAAAAACCAAATTTTTTAAATGTAATTTTCATTCTTAAAAAAGACAGAAAGCTTTAAAACTGTTTGGGGCATATATGACTTAAGGGAAATATGATATGGCTAATTCCTTCCACACCACTGTAACTACTTCCATTGCAATCAAGTTCACATTCAGCTACATGACACAATGAAACAGATTTACTCGTGACCCCATTTAAAGGCAATTTTAAAGGAGAAAAGACTTTGGTACCATACAGAATATTAAGAATAATTTATCGGATAAAAACAGATTTGTAAAATCCGAATACAAACAGAAAAAAAACATGCCTTTTGTCATTTATTGGGCTTGAGAAAGACCAAAGACTTCATAAAAATTATTTTCTGATAAATGGACAATAATCGTAAGGAATAGGAAAGGTGATGTCAAGTTATCCAAAGTTCGTGCATGAAAGATATGAATTACCATCCCCAAGCAGTGTAGCACAGGCAGAAGAGAGTTTTAGAGCCCAGTAGAGTTGAAGCTTGGCTCTGCCACCTACCAGCTGTGTGACTTTGGGCAAGTTATTTTCTCCACACCTCAGGTACCTCATCTGTAAAATGAGGACAATACTACTACTATCTGATAATGTTGCTGTGAGGACTGAATGAGGTACTTCATATTACATGCTTGACTTGGAACATCCTAAATGCTTGTTAAAAGTTAGCTGTCGTTATCCTCATTATTACTATTTGATAGGCTGTTCAATGAAAATGAATATATACTTATTTTTGTCCAAGTAACTAAAGTAAAAAAAGAATACTTTAAAGTCTTTTTTATTTTTTTGCTTTTCAAACTTAAATCCAAATAGCACAAAAATTATCTCAAGAAAGCAAAAACCATTAAAGAAGTCTGGATTAAGCATTACACACCAAGTAGTTTTTTACTCCTTAAGTATATGTCATTTGGGGATAAAAGTTGGCAATTCACTGTCTTACTCCTTGATAGTTCTTATATTTCTTAGATGATAAACTTATTTTAAACCTCATTTGGAATATTTATGGCTACCAAATATACTCAAAGATAAGGTCTAGGGCTCAATCACCCTTCTATCTTTCCATGATCTGTACACTGGGGATCTTGAAGGTCCCTATCAATATTGTGTAATATTTCACCTTCTTGGCTATATCTTCCTATAATTCTCAATTACACACTGTCATATCCACACAGACTAAAATGCCACCTGACTAGAAATACCAAAGCCAATCAAGCAAAACAGTTTTATTAATCCTAATCTACTTTCTAAAGGAACTTTTTTTAAAAAAAAAATAGCAGCACAATCTAAAGGCAAATATTTAAATACATATACTTTACAGTATCTTCTCCAGTTTTAGGTCACTGCGTCCTTGCTAAACATCAAGTCTACCAACAGAAAAAAATGGACTAATCAGTAGTAGATGTACTTCTCAGAAATCTATTGTGATATCATGATGAATGCTACTTTAATAGCTACAGAAATCAAAGGACTTATAAATTTTACATGCCCTCTTTTGATTAAACAGCAACAATAACAGAATCTATACTGCTGAGTTTAAAAAACAAAATAATCGCTAAGTTGATCAATATTAGATCAAGGGACAACTTCTCCCCAAGGATTCTGTTATTTTAGAATATTGGTTAATCTAGACAAACTTATGCAAAACACTTTAAGATTTTAAGGCTTGGACCCTAAAGAAGCTAATTTTTAATTATTAACTCTTGACAACCTATAAAATACCAGTTGCTATAAAGTAGAGAATTGTTCTAAAAGGTAGTGGTAAGAACAAAGACAGAAGATGCTATATGAGATGGTTTAAAATGTGAAAGATGTGTAAATATGTGACTACTGAAAGATGGAAAAAATATAGAAAAGTCTAAGTTAAGGTTAGCTTGTTTTGAAATCTAAATTGCTTGAGAGTAGAGGGGGGGCAGCACTAAATGTTTGCATTCTCCTGAAAATAACACAAACCTATGAAGAGAAGAGACCAAATCAAAGTTGGGGGGGAAATATTATAAGAGCAGTCTGTGATGTATGAAAGAGATGGAAGATGCACTACACTTACAACAGATGGAGACCATTGGATACTACATACAGCAAGGGCCACCATCAACATACATGAAGGGATGAGCTCATAGCCTTTGGAGAACCAATGTGGCCTCATAGGACCCAGGACAGCAATGCTAAAAGCTTGGCAGCACCTAGGTATGACCTTCATCCTGTACTGGGCAGAATGAGGCTGTAATCATGATAATATCTATTACAACAACCATCAAAAGAAAGGAAGGGTTAAGAGATCTCTCATCTTTACAAATGCCACTTATTTTTCTTTTTAAAAGATAAATTCAGAACTCTAAATACTATGTTTGAGAAGCCCAAACCCAACCTAGAAGCTAGCAACTACATTAGGATTTTCATCTTTAACCATAAAAATGCCTAATGCTCCAGGAGACAATCATCTCTTCTCCTTTTTAAAAGATGTACATTTTACCTAATAAGCACATCTAAAAGTGACCCAATATACTTAAATATATTAGATTCTTTAAATCCTTTAGACAGCTGAATGGTCTTGCAATGAATTTCATGATGTGATTTAAAGGAATCAATACAAGTGTCCAATACTCTAAACTTTTATATTCAGATGTACTCAGAATAACTTGTTTGTGGTTTTTATAATCTGTTAGTGTATAAGCTGAACAAGTTCTTTGGCTGGGAGAAAACTGTTTTTCTAGGGCCTGGTATTATAAATTAAGGTCCCAAATGTACAATAGACACTTACTGTATTTAAGAAAGAATTTCCCTTTTCTAACTTATCTGTGTATTAAATAACATAGCCACCTGAAAGTTACTACTTAGAAATTACTGCTTTAATGGAAAAATGCTAAAATTAAGAAACTGTAATTTCATAATCTTGGATGTCCAGCAAAAAATCCACTCTTCTCACATATCACTATTCCTTAAAGTTCTTTTTGAGACTGCCCATTAGAAATAATAATAGGAAAAATAATAATAGTTAATACTTATATCACATCTACTATGTGTCGGGCACTGTCTTATATGCTTTTTACCTATTAACTCATTTAATACTCACAAAAATTGCTATGAAATAGATATTATTACCATCTTCATTTTACAGATGAGGAAATTAAGGCACAGAAAGACTGTGACTTGCCAAAGGTCACAAAACTAATAAAGGAACCAGAAATTCAAATTCAGACAATCTACTCAGTCTGTGCTTTTAACCTTAATGCTAGACTTCTGAGAATTTGGATGATTATTAGAAATTCTATAATTTGATCATATGACAATCCTAAGACTTGCTGGCTAGAAGAGTTTTAAAATACTAATTCTTCAATCAAACATCTTGGGTAAGGGTGTTATTAATTCAACTAACCTATGAACTAATAAATTTTTTATGAACTATTAACTTGATTCTGCCATTCCATTTAAAACAAACAAATAAAAAACCTTTTTGGTATTTCTCTTTCTGAGCTAAACCCTTACCAAACAGACACTACCCTCTCATCAAAATATTCATATATTCAAAAACCAGGGAGGAAATGCATTCATATTTCAGAGTTTTATGTCTCAATCCCCAATATTAATCTTAAATCTATCATTAGATAATTCTTGCAACCCTCTCTAATCATGCAGAAGACTTCTTCAGAAACAGAGAGGCCATACAAATACAAGATGAGCTGTGGAAAGAGTCTAGGATAGTAAAAAGTTACTTAAAAAAAAAAAAAAAAAAAAGTAATTTAAAGGAAATAAAATGTCACGAGCCAAAAGAATGATGTGAACAGCGTACTGAGAGAAAACGGAAGGAGAAAAGAACTACAAGGACCCGTAGGGATTAGTTATAAACATTTCAGAGGTAAATGCTAAGAAAGCATATGAAGTGCTAACCAGCAACCAACTACCTATATATAATGCACTTCAGCGATCAGATCTCTCAGTTCTGTTCACATTAATCTGCTCTTCAGTAAAGTACACAAAGTAACAAATCTCAATGCTTTAATCTGTGAGAAGTGTGTAAATAACAAGTCATATATTTTGAAAATAGGAAATAACGTTTGAGAAATTAGCTTTCCAATTTTGTTAAGAATTGTGCATGTGGAGTATTTCCTGCAAAGTAAATAAGAATAAAAAATATATTATTTCAAAAAGTCCTTCAAAATATCAATCTATATTTTGACTTAAAGAATGGAAATACCATTATGGGCTCAGTGTGTACTCCGTACTTAAACCCGGTCAAGAGGTTATTCAAAATAGAGGCTTTAGTGTCTGGGGAAAATGCCTCCTAAAATCCAATTAGTAATAAACTAATCATGTTATCTTACTAATCCCTCACACTGACTTAATACTATGGACATATTTCAAGAGTGAGAATAAGTTTAACAAGTGTTACATCATTGATGGAAATGACATTCTCCTCTCAGTTATAAAATACATTTAAAAAATATACTAAGTATATGTATGACTAAATATTACCAGTGCTCCAAGATAGGGATATAACTAGGGCAATATTCTGAGCTAACAATATCTCCTATGATACTACACTGAGGGTCTTATTTGAGAAAGAGTGGAATTGAGAGAGTCAAGCTGAAAGAAACGCACACAACTGTAGGATATGGAAACCCAAATGTACATAAAGATATAGACAGATATGTCCATAACTCTATCTACACACACACATATCCCCCCCATCCCCCACATACTTTTCAGAGGGTAGAAAGTAGATTTTAGGGTAGAAAGTAGATTTTTTAGCCAATAAGCCCCAATCCTTTCATTATACACATCAATGCATTCAACTCCAATGCCTAGGAGAGAAACTAAGAAAGTATTTAATGTAAATGATTGTACAGCATGATTTCAAACCACCTGCCCTCTTATTTAAAGCCCAGCTCCACAAAGTAGAACTCAAACGCATCAAGAATATCGACTAGCAAGGAAGCACAGTGAAATAACTTGGATGATAAAACTTGAACGTTGTATAGCTCTTGACAAATACTCTCTAAAGTTGTAATCATTTCTTAATAGGAAATCTAGGGTTCTGCGTCCATAAAGGACATGACTGTTTTAACAGAGTCTAAACAAAGATATAAAATAACTGTAGCTATTTTATAATATAATCTACAAAGCTTAAAGCCAAAGCAACATCTTAGCTATACCAAAAGTATATTTTCGTTAAGCATCATTAAATGTTATATAATTTGTACATTCTTAAGAAGAAGTTTTTAAAAACCAAGTTAATTCTTTTGGTTCCATATCAGGGAAACGGAACCAGTCTTCCTGGTGAACATGCTATACACCAGCATCACCAGAATCCAATTATGGTAGTAGTGACTCTATAGTTAAGTGTCATATGTTCTTTATGCTGATAATAACTCATTTAGACATGAAGTCCTATCAATTTCTGAAACTGTTCTATTACTGGGTCTTTTACACTGGACAGCAGATAGTCTCATAAGTTCAGGGGACTGTACTGAGGTGGCCAACCTGCATCCGCAGCACTAGCTGTTTCCATGTCTATCTCCTCCACTAGACCAAAAGTTCCTTGAAGGAAGGAATGAAGAATCTTTTTCCTTCATTACAGTGCCTAGCACAACGTCTGGCACATAGTAAGCACTCAATAAATATATACTGACTCAATGGATCTGTTCAATAGAGAAGGCCAAACTTGGTATTTCTACTCCCAAAGTTTATTTTTGTCAAGGCACTCAATTTTTTTCCTACACTAGATGGTTACAAATATCCCCCCCGCCCCTGCTTTGTTTTTCTTGAGGAGATGTGTCATGATTAACCAATTTTTCATTCACAGTATGAAAATAAAAACAAGATGTTTATTTTACTCTGCCCTAAATAGTTTTTGTTTAAAACTATATTGGTTCAAAAAAATCTGTTTTCATCGTTTGCCTTAACATAATCTAACAAATATATTTTTGTCTTTTAAATATGCTTTAGAATAATGCCTGTTGGGTAAATTAAATGACTTGGAATCTTCCTTTATTTTATACTTATTATGGTAATAGGTATTCAACATTCAGGGATTAGCAAAACTAAAGTGCAAAGAACACTGCACTGGCTGGGAATAATTTAAATAAAAAAAGATAATGTGTTCAATAGCCAAATAATATACTTTAAGCTTTTAATTTTTGATAATCAGGGCATGGTGGTAATGTGGCCAAAGTTATGTACGTAACCTGCACACTGTGTAATCAGTTCTGTTTTATAGCATGGACGATATCCTAACCAGAGTTAGCTGATAGGTACGGGGCTAAACACATAAGCCAAGGAAATGAAAGAACGGGGATCAACACAAATCTGTCTTCACTAAGTTCATTCAAACAGTATAGCCATGTAATAGCCAGCAATGTGAAGGCTAATATCCTATTCTTAATTGAGATAAGATTTTACTAGGTTATTCAAAAATTCTTTCCGGCTGAAGATTTATTTCAGTATATTTTGGATTATACTTATACCCCAACAATTTCCAAATATCTGTACTAAATATGGCTACATACTAGCATTCAGTTTCAAAAGTACATATTAATAGTCCTGCTATATAACAAGAATTAATAAAATCATAGTCAAACATTCTAAGTTACAATCAAATCACAGCAAGAGAGCTACATCTTTAGCATACATTTTCAAATAGCAGTAGGTAAATGATAAGTCTTTAGGTCTCTCTTCTTGGAGGGATTTTGAGTTTTTTTAAATATAAGATACAGCTACAAAAAACAAGATAGTCTTAGAGACTGTTTCTTGAATTAAAAATCAGAACACATACACCTGGACAGGAGTGCTCTCAAACATGGTGTGCAGTAGAAGAATTCCCTAGAGAGCTTATTTGAGCTGCAGATGCTCTGGGCCCAGCGTGAGATTCTGTTTTTGCATATTTGAGGCAGAGTTCGAAAGGCTATATTATGAACAAGCACAAATTTTAGTGATGCACAGTAAATTCTGGTTCAGCTTTGAAACTTTGACATAAGTTTGTCACCTTAATCTGGAAAAGCAGTTCAAGCTTTGTGACCCTTTCTTTATCTGTCAATCTAGCCACTCTCCTAACAGGTAAGACCTATTTGAAGATATGTAAAGTGTTTATTGTTCCAAAATTCCCTACACATGCTTTATTTTTGAACACACAAGTTAAAAATAAAATCAGCATTAGTAGCATAAGAAATATCTGTTCAATCTGTCCATCTGAAGAAAAGATACCTAATGCAACGGGGTCTGGGTTGACGGGACTCTGCTGCCTGGAGTGGCTGCTGCTACTGCTGCCGCCCTTTTTCAAGTCCTCTGCATCACTGTACCGCCGGATCCAGTAATTCAGTTCCTCACGGTCTGCTTCCTGACACCGCCTTAGTACAGTGAGAGACCGTCTGGTTTTTTCTACCATGTCCATTATGCAGTTTAACAGCTATGTGAGAAATAGGGGGAGATAGGGACCATATATAAATCACACACGTTTAGTTGATAGTAAAGCAAATAATTTTAGGACAATGAAAGATGATATCCCTTCTAATATTTTTAAGAGTTTGGATTTGAAATTCAGATTCAATAGCTGAGAAAACTGAATGAAGATGAGCAGGACGAGTGAAAGGTCTGAACGTGAGTCATGATAGAGATTTCACCTGCAGGCGCAGAGCCAGTAAAACCACCTTCCCAAATACTAACACCACTGCCCTATAATCTAAATGACCCTTTCCCACAAAAATGAGAGCCCACTGATCTCACTTTGAAGGTTTTTTTCCCAAGATCTAAATATTTTTCTTGTATAAGTGGCTTTAATATCAATTTAGAAATATAATTCTAAATTCTACCTCAAACACTCTCACTTATTTTTTTCAAATAAATCAGGAAAGGTAGTGCCGTCAAAGTATCACCAAGTTTTTATTTTATCATGTAACCTTACTTCAGTTGTTTTCAAAACATTTTTTAATCTAAATGATTACCAACGTCTTACATGGTCAAGATGTTTCCATTCTTCTGCCCATTCTCTGTCTGTTAGTCTGTGGTCAATCATTTCTTCTTGACGTGTGCCATGCAACCCTACAATGTAGAGAAGAATGTTGATTCCCCCTCAAGCATTCAGTACAAAACCCATATGCACACAGTCACATAGCAAGGACTATGTGGCAAACTGAACAACTTGAGAATATATTTGATTTTGAATGGAGACATGAGTCACACTCAAATTCAAAATCTTGGGTTCCTCATAGAATGACAAAATGTTAGAACTAGAAAGAATTTTAGAGACCATCTGATCACAACTTCTATGCTACACATGAGGAAACAAAGTTAAATGACACCAAGTGCAGGACTAGTTAGCTATACAACACTCCCTAATCATAAATACATACTAATTCTTTTTTAATAATTTATTTTTTGTTATTGTTGAGAATATACACAGAATATACACCAATTTAACAATTTCTACATGTAGAATTCAGTGATGTTGATTACATTCTTTGAGTTTTCTGAGTTGTTCCTCCCCCATTAACATAAACTCACTGCCCCCTAAGTTTCCTATCTAATCTTTTGAGTTTCTGTCGTCAATTTGATCACACATAGATGGATTTTAAAAGTGCACAATGCTCGAGGCAGACATTCTTTACTAGTTAAGGTAACTTATTGTTTGCTTTTAAGAAGACTTCAGGGGATATTTTTCATTTAAGGTTTAAAGATCATCTCATATCCAGCGTACCCATTGCTGTTGGAAATGCAAAAAGACACAGTCGTTGTGGAAACCACTGTGGTGGTTCCTCAAAAAACTGAAAATAGAACTACCATATGACCCAGAATTCCATTCCTAGGTATATGCCCAAAAGACTTCAAAGCAGAGATTGAAACAGATACTTGTACACCAATGTTTATTGCAGCACTATTCACAATAGCCAAAAAGTGGAAATAACTTAAATGCCCATCAATGAATGAATGGGTACACAAAATGTGGTATATCCTAATTCTTTATACAAGAAACCACAACTAGATGTTAAGGCTTTCCTAATTAAATAAGGCTTTCCTAATTAAAAATCAAGACAGCAGAAGTTATTTTCACATGTGCAGAGATAAGCATGGTAAAATTTTTCCATGTTTCAGCATGGTGTAAATGAATACAGTCCTAGTAGACATATCACCATGATAAAGTTAGGCCATGAAGAGAGAGGGCTGGGATAACATGAAAATGATTTACATATACTCAATTTACAAAAAAAACCCAAAAAAACCAAAAAATACTAAAAATGAATTAGACATCCTCTTTGGAAAAAAAACAACTAAAATTCCAGACCTAATTTTAGACAACTATCATAAATTCAAGCCAAGAGACTAAACTCCTAATTTGAAGTTCTTAGCATAAGTATTAATGCTCATTAACATCACAGTTAAGATACTACCATGCAAAAGTGACATGTAAATGTTCAAGTGAGCAACAGTATTACTGAACATGCGCAGTTAGTTGGGTTGTTCATCAACACAGAAAATAAATGTGTCACACTAAAAGGAATGAAGGCTCTGATCAGAGATATCTGGAAATGTGTTGCTCCTCTTACAGGTTCATCATGAATAAAACACCTTTCATTTTACGCTAAAGGTAGGGCATTGGGCTATGTTCGTATTTTCCAATTTAAACAAAACTATTCTTTTTGGTTGCTACTTCTTATGTCACTCTGAGTAGTAAACTAAGTCTGGCATGGTTTGGGCTTGTAGGCTACCTATGCTACTCCTCTGAGGGCATTATGTAAGAATTAAATGACAGTTATGAGACAATGCATGCCATTTTGTGTGAAATGTGAGTAGTTAGAAATCCTTTTTTTAAAAATTGATTTAGAGAAATAAAGATGATGGGTCACATGACTCTTTTCTGCCCACCATGAAATGCCATTTAATTTGTAACTGACTGCAGTGAACAAATATACAACTCTTTCTCAAACTAAATAAAAAATTAAATATAAAACACTTTGCTGTCCAATTAGAACATATTCTTAGATACATTTTAAAAGCTAAAATTGTCAATGCCACCTATTGGTAAAAAAGTCAAATTGCAAATGCATTTTACTAATTTGCATAATAGAAAAGACGGGGAAAAGTAATATTTAGTTATTGCTCCGTTTGTTGTGATTATTTCAAGCTGAAATGTTTTCAAATATGTAATTTTTGTTGACTTATTTGTTGCCTCCATTTTAGGGAAAAAGCACTACCATTAAAATCAGTCTTCATGAAAAATAAATGTGACAGTAACTTTCATGATGGAGTCATCTTATTATTTGCCTTTTAAAGACCAAGAACTCCAGTGGTCTCAAAAGTTTCAAAAATTCAGCAGATAGGAGCTCTAGCATCTGGAAAAATATTAATGAGCAACAGGATGTTTGTGGCTACTGGGATTCCAGCATTTGTGGAATACTGCTAAGTTCTATCTTGATTTTTTTAAAAAATAAGTTCCTTAGAAACCTGTTTGAGTCCAAGTACTTGGTAAAGAAGTTTAGCAAGAAACAACTTGTTTTCTGCTTTTGAACTCTGATAATCATGTGTTAGAATCAAATATTTAAAAGGAAAAAATAAAAACTCAAAATTCTATATTTATTAATTTCTCTATTTCTGATGCTTAAATATTTAGCACCACACAATTTGTATTTATATTCATAATACTAGAGGGATGTACTAAAGAAAAACAGCTCATAATCATTAAAGAACACATTTTCATTTGTGGGAAATCTGACACTAATATTGAGTCTTAACTGGTTCTTATGTTTCAGAGGATTTTAACAAACTAGGCTGATACCCTTAGTTTATTTATGAACTAATACTGCTTATAGAGATATTTTGTTAAATAATTCTAGTGAGTATATGTCCCTATATATAACAAGAATTTATAAATCACACGAAGTTATACCACTTATGACAATTTTTATATTCTCAAATGGCAACCTGACATAAAACCATAATTTGTTACTCATACATCAAGATTTTATTTTACATTAACACATGCTAAACTATGCCAACCTTTAAGGATATTTAAGTAGTTGCACATATTTATAGAGATTAACACTATTAGTTTTATAAGCTAATATAATTAAAAGGTAAGGAACATTGTATAAAGAAAATCACATAAAACCAATGAGTACAGAAATAATTCATAAAGGGATATTTTACATTACTAGATGAATACATAATCATTGCCCATAAGCATAATTACTTCCTTGCTGATTATAGTACACTGGAACTAATATTTCATAAAATAGCATTTGCTGCCTAAGAAGTATGCACCTATAAAATGGGATATCTTTTATTGGTCTTACAATGACCTGATGGCTCTACTTGTATTTTAAAGTGAGCAATGGTGATTTTAGGTCATTAAGTCTTAAATAAATGGCAAAGCTTTTGCTTTTGCCATCTGATTTTTGGGGTTAACATATCAATCCAGGCTGAGAAATAGCATAACCACTTTTGAAAGCTCTTCAGAGATGGTACCTGAGAGAACATTAGACAGATTAGTTATCAAGAAAACACAAAATTACACCTAATCCTCACTTATCAACTATCTCATTATTAGACATTTTGCATTTACGACACTAGTGTAAAAAAAAAAAAAAAAAAAAACTACTATCTATTTTGATTATTAACGAGATGCTGAGGAGAGAGGAGGAGGAGGAGGAGGAGGGCGAGGTTTGCGAGAGGAAGCAAGGTCCTGTGGGCTGCTGGCGGCTCGTATCACCCGGGTCAGGTGGCGGAGCCAGGAGGGCCAGCAGCGAGCGCAGGGCGGGCTGGCAGCACAGGAGGCGGCAGTTGCTGGGGCCGCAGGAGTCAGGCAGGGGGCTCAGAAGTCTCTTCTTCCAAAGAGGACTCTCTGCCACTTCCGCAGCCTCCAGCGGGCCCAGGCGGCTGGGCCTTACCCACTCTCAGGTCCTGGAGCTGCTGCCAAGGCCCATCTCTGGGGCCAATGGAGAAAAAGGTGGAAAGGCATGGTGTGGGTCATGCGGAGGACTAGGGTGTGGCCAGGTGATGGTGGGCTCCTGCTGCTCCGGGGGCAGTGGGCAACCCTCGACCACTACCACCACCACCCCAACCCCTACGGTGGTAAGGAAGGCGTGGTAAGGAAAGGTGGACTGACGCACCCGTGCATCCCAAAGACGGGGCACACTTGACTCCCACGTAACATCCATTTTCATGTAACGACCTGGTCTTTTGAACCTAACCAAGCCAATAAGTGAGGAGTAGGTATATATGCGTACCTGTTTGTTTGACACAATATAAATGCAGAAATTACTATTGTGGAAAAGCAGAACTACTATTTTACTATCTCACAACCAGAGCCTTGACCAACTACTCCATTACCCTGACCCTCCTTTTCTGCTTTCTGAACATCTGGAAGTTTACATGTAGAAAGGTAAAAAAAGACCCTAAATATGGAAGCCCCTGTTCACTAATAATCTAGCTAGAAATCTAAGGTAAACTTCTGCTCACCATGCTATCTCTATATGTGACTAAAAACTCATTGTCACTACTATTCAAGCTGTGGATCACTGGCTGGCTGCATTTCCCAGAGTTCTGCATCCTCAGCTCTATTTTCTGGTTTCCCACTTGGACTTCATCCCTTGCCACTTCCAGCATCCTGCCCACCAAATCGCCATGTCAGGAATGTTTGCCAGCAACTAGGTACAAATTAAGGAAGTCCTGCTGGTGGGTAGCATGGAATAGGAGGTGGAAAAAGAAGAGACGGTTGACTGCTTCTCTCAGTATTTATAAATAGCTTGACTCACTAAAAATTAACTAAGAATGCAAGGTGCTCCAGGAACAGTGTGCTCACTCCTTTGTGGTACCATCACCTTGACCACTGATCATACATCAAGATTTATGTTGCTCATCTTGCGTCTCATTTTTCATGGCAGACACTTGTTCTTTAGAAGGCGATGCCTTCATTCTCTCCTGTAGCTACTCTAATGCCTCACTTCCAATAGCTTTACGCAAAGAAGGAAGGAACTTCGGCAAAAGGAACACAAATTTGCCCCCAACTCATTCCTTCTTGGTATCCTGATATTTAACACAAAATTATTAATACTAAATTTAACCACTGGAACTTTTAGATAAAGAAAAGTACCAATTCATCCCTCAAAGAACATCTGTCAAGTGAAGCCACAGATATTATGCCTTACCATATTTTAGAAACATGGAATAACATGGAGACTGGGAATATCAAAATAAACTTTGAGATGATCTGAACTAAAAGATGAAATGCAAGAAAGGAAACTGATTTTTAAAAAATATTTATGGCAAAGCATACTGCATAGGAAATTGTTCATGCTAAAATAAACTTGAAACTAAAAATTCATTTTGGATTTGTTATCACAAATTGAGGATTTTATATAATTTAGATGCCTCCCCACCCCCGCCAAAAAAAAGACCTGCTGTCTTAAATACAAGTGATTGAGAGAACAAAGCTGTTAAAAAACATATTAATAGTAACCAAGTATTCTCATAGACAAAATAAAGGAAGAAAATTTTTACCCTATCACAGATTTCAAGCCTGAAGTTCAGTTGAGAATGAGGCACATCTTCAAGCATTCATCCCATAAAAAGTGAGTAGATCTTTGAGTCTTACCCATAGGTCTGTTTCTGTCCCTGAGGTCCCTGTGGCTGGGGTGTCGGTAAGAGTCCCTGTAGTGGTGGGCGATGGCCATATCATCCAAACGGTAATGCTGAGGTGGAGGTGGGGTGGGGTGAGGCAGGCCATTGGGCTGGTAGGATAAGCCGTTATTTGGACTGTACCGCTGGCCTGGGCTAATAGTGCATGGTCGCTTGCTTGGATGTTCTGAGTGCAAAGGCTCTCTGTCAAAGCCATTTTCTTTGGTTCTGAAGCGGGGAAGAGAAAGAGATTGTTTCATAATGCATTCTTCAACCAGCATAGTTCAGGAATATCAACAGAATATTCATTTATTGGCCAGAAAAATTCTAACCTCAGCTTCCTAGACCAAAGGGAGTTCACAGGAACCCATGCTGAGGCCGACATGATCACAAGACTGTGCACAGGAGAAAATGTTTCACTTTTCATCAAATTAGCAACTGATATCTTTTTAGTTAACACTCTTGTGGTTAGCTCACAAATAAAAGGAAATTCGACTGCCTTCTGCAGGTTACATTTTCATTCAAAAGAGAGTACCTGACTTCTAACAAGGTCCTCTAAGACCAACTGTATTTGGTGAAGATTCATCACTCTCTTGATGAATATTCCAGATATACCTATTCCATTACCCAACTTGGCATCTGACTTTCATGTCAGGGAACATCTAAAGGCTGTGTTATCAAATACAATAGCCAACTGTGGCCATTTAAATTTAAATGCAAGTTAAAAATAAATAAAATTTAAAATTCAGTTCTTCAGTAATAGTAGCCACCTTTTGGGTGCTCAGTAGCCACCTGTGGGACTATGGTATTGGACAGTGCACATATAGAACAATTTCACCATTGCAGAAAGTTCTATTGAAAAGCATTGATCAAATTAAGCTAGTGCAATAAAGCAATGCAATGTCTGGGGCCCAGACATTATCTTCAGTCGCCAAGATAATCAACCAGCAGTGGCACAGAGCTAGCCAGGACTAGAAGGATAATCTACGTCAACCCCTTACTTCTTAAAAACTGAGGAAATGCATGCCCAAAAAACTGATGTGACCTGCCTGGGTCATCAAGTCATGTGGCAGGACTGGCATATCCAGACTGTACTGTGTCATCTGAAGTACAGAAGTTTGAACTTTGCTTTCAGAAGGAATGTGTTCTATAAATGAAACCTAATAATTAATCACTGCCCCTAGATTCTCAAATAAAAGTAGTACTAAATAAGCATTTTCTGGCTAAATATATCTCTGTTGCCTCAGAGGCAATAACCAACAATATACTCAGTAAGAAAGCACAAAATCAGCTCCAACTTTAACTGGAATCATAGCCCCCAAACCAACTCTTTGCTCCTCACAAGACCAGCCTTCTATTCTTAGGCCTGTGATGTCTCTTTCCTCAAGGAAATTCCTCATAAGAAGTCACAGCGGCTGCATAATTCAGGATGCCTTTTTGGTTTCAGGTTGGTAAAACAATAGTATAGAGGCCTTCAGTAACCTTTCCCACTTTCCTAACATCCAGAAATTGTCTTTGTCTGGTAACATTGGAGGGGTCTGAGTGGAAACTGAATTGACAACAGAGATCATCAGGGGCAAGGAGATTCTACAGTGAACCATCCTTTATATCCCTTCAGGGTGGATGTCCACTGACAATCTACACATAGGAGACTGAGGAGAAGGAAGGGGTTAGATACAGAGGCTATAGACACACAAAAGAGCTGAGGGGAAGTCTGACCAGGTAGATGTCAAATGAATATGTGCCCAAAAAACAAAAACCAAACCAATGATTGTTGAATCAGTTCAGACTCATGGAAACCCCATGTGTTGCAGACTAGAACTGGGCTCCATAGGGTTTCCAAGGCTGTGAACTTTTCAGGAGCAGATCACCAGGCCTTTCTTCTGAGGTGCCTCTGAGTGGGTTCAAACTGCCAAACTTTCAGTTAGTAGCCCAGTACTTAGTCATCTGCGGCACCCAGAGACTACAACAAATACATGCCTACTACATGCTAAAGAAAGATGCAATGCACAGGATAAAGAGATATATTGGAAATGATAGCAGAACATGGCCCCCATGGGAATGGGGCCAGAATTCTCAATGCTGCTCCCATCAAAGTATGTGTCTGTACTAAAACATACTGACTGCATACATATTGATCACTGATCCATACATACTGTACACTAAAATGTACATTATAGCTCACACATTGCCTAGATATACTGCTTTAAAATAATTCTAAAAAGTGAAAGAAAACATTGTAGATATCGATTTATCATCTAAGAGTATATCCATGTGATTCTAATCTGCATTTTCATATCCTATACATTTCCAAATAATACACTTAAACATCCAAAGTATATTGCCAGCATACATCAGGTGGAACATACTGAAGACTTAATAGCTATAAACATAATGCTAACACAGCACCTACCTTACTGGCAGTGTGGTGTAGTGGAAAGAGCACTGGACTGGGAATCAAGAGACCTGAGATCTAGTCCTGGCTCTTCCACGACTAGCTGTGTGACCTTGGCAAGCCACTTAACCTCTCTGGACCTCAGTTTGCTCATCTGTAAAATGAAAGGGTTGGACTAGATCAGTGGTTTTCAAACTGTGCCACCTGAGGTACTTCAGGGATTCTGAAGGTAATGAAGAATATTTTCCCCAAACAATCAGGATTTTAAGGGCCAGAGGAACCCACTTATTACTTTTATCTATTTTACAAATTAGGGTTCCACACAGAATTTCATTTTTAAAGGAAAAAGTCTGCTGCTAAAATCAAGTTTGAAAACCACTGGACTAGATGATTTCTGAGGTCCCTTTCCAGGTTGAAAACTCGACAATTTACTTATTCTATCTAAATTTCATGATTTTACAGGTAGAAACGCACAGGGCCAATGGTGCTATGGCCAAATTGTAAGTTCCCAAGTCAAGCACTGTAAGCCAAGATTTCTGCTCTTTGCTTTGAACAATTTATTATTTAGCTTATTTTTCCTGCACAAATAGAAAACATACTCTACATGTCTTATAGCGGCCCCTGTGGCATTTCTAAATATCCTTGACCCAGTTGTGTAAAACCATCTCGACTTACTGTTATCATCTCTTCTTGTTCAATGATAACAATAATGGCATACAACACTGGAAGAATCCTTACAGTTTTCAAAGTAGTTAGATACGCGATTTATCTTAATCCTCAAATCAGCCATCTGATCAGTCCTATTACTTCAAATGACCCATTATTAGGGAGAAAAACGTTCTTTTTCCCTAATACAAGGACAGTAATGTCCTAAGGGGTGGGGCTAGGTCCAGAGTCTGCCCTCTCACCTCTGTCAGGGACCCTATCCTGAGGTTCCATTTCTCTGCTAGCTACTTAAGTAATTAAACTCATCACTGCACAAAGGTAGTGACATTTTAACATTAGAAGCATTAAATCGTTCACAGCAAAAAAGCTACCAAGAGACCCTGGTGCTTACTCCCACTCATATCTATCTACTTAGTAAGGTCAACCCTATTCAAAGGATGCCTATGTCCAGAATGGGAACTAAAACAGCTTGATTGCTTTTTGTCTGTTTGCTTCTTAGAAATGCCTATAACTATCTATGCCTAATTTGCCTGGGCAAATTCCAAATATGCCTTTTTATTTGTTGCCCTTTCAAAGTGGATTGGGCAAAACGAACCAATACTTTTCATTGTCGCATTTCAGTAATACTCTTGAAATAGCTCCAATTCTAGTTGAAAGGCCTGCATGTCTCACAGATAACTGGAGGGTGTTTGTTTTGTTTTGTTAATCAACCTGAGGATATTCTATCTCCCTGCCAGAATTAATTTTCTTGAACATAATCTAACCACTTCAATATATAGATCCTGATCATTTCTCTCTCACAGTCTGATGGTCCTAAGGCTCAAGAGTGCTCAAGAGGCAGCTGTATGGCCTCAAGTTTCTTAACTTTCTGGCTTCAGTTTCCTGTCCATTCAAATGGGACTAACAGGAAAGAAGGCGTGTAAAAAAGCTTAAGATACAACTTAATTTACACTTTCACCCCACCTCAAGCTATTTTCTCCCCAGTTTTTAAACAGCAAAACCTCCAAACTGTTTGAGAAAGAAAACATTTAAAAAAATTTTTCTTCTATATGAAATATTTAAAAAGTCATGATTGGCCAGTGTGCATTGATAATCCCTTAAGAACACTTACATAAAGCAGTATAACATTTAAGATAATGGGGAAGAATAAAAAATCTCTTATAAAATCATGATAATAAAGACAATAAAATAACTAAGTTCCTAAAACGGCAAGATCATACATAAAGATTTTGTCCCCAGATTAAAATTAAAAAAAAAAAAAAATGGGAAGAAAATGCCACTTTAATACTGTGCTAGGAGGCAGCAAACTGATAAAGTATAATAAATTTTGGATTGAAAAAGAAAAAAATTGAATTCTAATCTTAGCCTTGTTACAAATAAATGCCTTAGGCTTATTCTTCCACCTTACCAATGGCATCTCAGACTAAACATGGCTAAACTGACCCACCATTCTCTGCACTTCCTATACCAGCGAAGTATGCCCCCTTCTACCTAGTCACCAAAGTAGAAACTTGAAAGTCACTCTTGGAACTTTCTTCTCCACATCAAGTCCTGATGCTGGTCTCTTAAGCATCTCTGGCGTAAGTGCCTTCTCCTGGCCCCAGGATACCTTTATCTTGGCCCAATTACACCGCCATCTTGTTCTACCAGCATCTCACCAGGCAGCCAGGGGACCTCCAGGCTTGTTTGCTGTCTTTCTCAACAATCAAGTCCCATCCCTGGACCATAGTTCCTTGGAAAATGAGTAGGAGTGAAACTCCGGATCTAAAACGTCTTTGAGGTTCAACCTTCTGTCAGGCATTGAGGACTTTGTTTATTCTTGTATTTTAGAAGTCTGCATCTAAATCTTAGGAGGTAAGAGTTCTATTTAAAAAACAAAAACAAAAACCAAAGAACATCTATAACTTAATGTTAAACATCTTCCTTTCCTTTTTTAGCACATGCAATTTGTTAAGGTTTTCATAAGAGTTACTGGACACTGAATCAATCAAAGGGTGGGGGGGATCATTTTCATCATTGTACTTTAAAAATACAATCCAGTAACAATCATCTTCAGGAACTGTTAGGAAACAGGTGAGTTAGGAGTTTCACATAACACCTTTTTTATTGGTGTTGAATCATGTATCTGAAACAAAATAGATTAGAAGTCCCCCACCTCCTTAAAAAG